GTGCTGCAGGTTGTTATTTTGCCACACAACATCATTTTTCTGAAAATTGACCCCCAAAAAAAAAGAAAGGGGGAGAGTTTAAACTGTAGATTTCAGAATATGCCAAAAAAAAAAAAAAAATCAGTCAAACCAAATTGAAAGTTGGGTAGATTTTTCTATTAAAAAATAAGAAATTATGTCTTTGCAGCTTGCTGGAGTTGCAGACGCAAAACCAGTCCACCCGTCGCTGCCCCATCTGTGGTTGTGGGTCAGGAGAGGGGGCCAGAAAAACCCTCCGTTGGGGGTCTTATCCTGCGGCTAAAGCAAACTCCACCTGGCATCTGCCACCAGGCAGCACCTCCCCATCCTTCACGCACGCTCCCAGCCCTTGACTTAGGTCTGTGTCTGCCACCGTGGGAGCAGCAAACCCGTCCTTGGGTGCCTTGAGCCTTCCCTGGGGATCCGTCCCACCCACAGCTGGCTCTGCAGAGGGTCTCGCAGCCCTGGGGGAGGCACTGGGTGCCACCGGCTTCCTTGGTGCAGCAAAGAGACATCGCTTACCCAGCATCACGCAGCTAATAAGAGGTAAAGTCAGGACCTGCACCCCAACTCTCCTACCCACGTTATTCCCTGACTGCACTTTTCTCCCAAGCGTCTTCTGCGCTAGGCTAGAAAAAGGGGGTTGTTTTTTATTTGCAGAAGTGAAGGTTCCCTTTCCAAGACTCGTTTTGGTGTGGTTTTTGCAGACATGCTCCAGTTACTTTACTGATACAAGATGAAGCACAATTGTAAATTATTAAGACAAATCCACAAACGGCAAGCAAACAGAAAGCCAGTTAGGTTGTCAGTAGTATTTTCTGTCTGGAGTTGCTTTTTCCTTTCAACGACACTTGTTCACTTGGGCCAATGTTTTCAAACTCCACTGTCCAGTTCTTAATCGATACTGAAGCATCTCGGGACAAGATGCCAGCGTCCCAGGGAGCTGAGCATATGAACGTCCCACCTCTTGGCTGGTGGGGAACCCGAAAAGCCAGCTCGTTTGACATGCCTCGCTGCAAGGACTGCGGGGTGACCTCGCCTGAGAGCACCAGCCTGGATCTCATCAGTGCTTGGGATAGGTAGGCATGAGCAGGGCCAGCTGCAGTCGAGACCGCAACAGGCTGGAGTCCCACACCCACGGCTTTTGCTGAGCACTGGCCAAAATCTTGATTTTTTCCTTAGCCCGAAGCCTGAAAGCCTTGAACTGGGCAGAGGTTGCAGCATGCAACGCACACTCCTGCTTAAGCGATGCCTGCTCAGCCGCAGGGAGGACTTGCATGGCACGAACCTAAAGCAGACAACCTAGCACGAGGGATGCAGCAGGGAGAGAGGTGCAGCTCCAGCTCCAGCTCTGAATCTCCAGGGACAGCCTGATGCTGGGACCCCAGTCCGAGCCCACCTTGGGACATGACCGCAGATATCTGGCGGCACGGATCAGTGGGTCGTAAAGTCCTCGTGAATAGAAACACCGAGGTGCCACCAAGGAGATGAATAAAGAGCAGAAGCATTGACACCCGAATTATACATCTTGCTTTTATGGGCAGTGAAAGGCAAGGCAAGAGGCACACCTGAGAGGCAGATCTCCTACAGAAAGCTCAGGCTTTTCTAGCCCGAGGCACCATGCAGCACCCACGGCCTTTAAAACAGGGAGGAAGGAAACGCCAGCGCACGTTAAATACACCAAAGGGAAAAGGAGACGATGAAAAGCTCCACCAAATGCATCTGACAACACTTTCAGCTGCTCCTGAGCAATCAGGGTCACCTAGAGATCCGTGCATCACACACGCACACGTCAGCCCTGGCAGGTCTCTGCCTCAAAGAGGACACATCTGCCGGCAAAGAAACCCAAGGGCCGTAGAAACGCGAAGCACCAGCAGGGCCAGTGTCACCCGCATGGCCAGACACCTTCCAGCTCTGCTTCAGGAAGGAGGAACAGCAACCCCGGTGGATTGCCCAGCCCGGCCCATCTACAAGGGACAGCGGAGACCCCTCAAACTCATGGCACCTAGAAGCTTGCTTTCTGCAACAGCACCAACACATTCCTCCTTCACTGATCCTGCTAAAGCATGTCCAGTTCCCACCACCGTGGGATATTCTGCAATCACAATCCCCACCGTGACCTTCTGCAGGGTGACTGGAGCTGCTGAAAGCAGCGAGTGGGTTTGGAAGCAGCAACGCATCCTGCAAACAGAGAGCAAAACTGGGGAAAGGAGACCCGGCCGCGTGGTTGTGGTAAGGACGACTGAGCCTCAGGGAACCTTTGCTCCCAAGCGCGACCTTGGGCAAACTGTCCCATCTGCCAACATCAGTGCACCCTGTCCAGTGCTGGGGTGAGTCCCCTCAAGGCCGTCAGCTCTTTGGGGCAGTGAGTGTCACTTCCAAGAGAGCATCCCGCACAGCAGAGCCCTAAGGGGATGACTGCAAACCTTTTTCAGCCTCAGATCAAACCATACATTTGAGGAAGAGACGCTGGAGGGAAGAGCCTGGCATGGAGAGTGTTGTCTCTCCCCCAGAAAAGCAAATTTGATGCCTCGTATTAAACGTAGGGGAGAAGGATGAGTTTGTGATTGTTCGTTATGGCATGGTGGAGGAGAGGAGGTGAAAACAGAGGTGGAAGCTGCAAAAGGAAGGTTACAACCAGACATGACCTCGTATCAGAGATCTGCATCGGTCCCCACCCCAGCCCTGTACCTGCACAAGTTCCCCCCATATCACGCAAAGTAAGAAACCAGTGTCTTCCCACCGCTGCAATTTTTTCCGTACCTGGACAGGAATAAGAGGCTCTTTGTCATCGATGTCAATTAGGACGTCATCCCTGGGCGTGAGGCTCACATCATCTGCAATCAGAGCAAACACGAGCATGACCAGGACATCCAGCTGTTAGAAACCCCAAAGCCGAGCCACCTTGGGATCAAGCTCCAGGAGCGATCTCAACCTTGCCCAGAGCCTTCACACCAGCCAAAGCTCATGTTCACGCAGGTTGGACAGCTTGGCCAAGGGACAGCCCAGCTCACCAACCAACCCCAGAGCTAAACTCCTCCACTGGAGGAGTTTAACCACTCCTTTGAGTGGTTAAACGTTGGGACAGGCTGCCCAGGGAAGTGGTGGAGTCCCCATCCCTGGAGGTATTTAAAAGATGGGTAGATGAGGCGCTTAGGGACATGGTTTAGTGGGCATGGTGGTGTTGGGTTGACGGTTGGACTCGATGATCGTAGAGGTCTTTTCCAACCTTAATGATTCTATGATTCTATGATTCCTCCTTGGCACCTCCTGGGCTTTTTGGATCAGACCTACAGCTGAGCTGAGCTAAAAGCAACGTATACAGCGACCCACAGCTCCTCCTGGAGAAGGGCACGGGTGTGCAGCCAGCACAGTCCTCGTGGCAGCGCGTACCTGAGTGCTCCTGGGGACCGTCCGTCTCCTCTCGGTAGGGGTCACAGTAGAAGTCCTCCAATGAGCGGATGGTGCACTGACCCACCATGGGCCTTCGGCCAAACGGCCTGTTGTCGATGATTTTGATGATGATGGGGGGGCTGTACAGGCTCTCCTTGGGTAAACGCTGTGGGCAGAGGGGAGGGAACACGTAACTACGCAGGGCAGGGAGGGCCGCTGCTCTGCGCCTCCCCAAAAGGAACCGAGGCTGAGCAAGACAGAATTAGCTTCACCATAGGATGCATTTTTTATGGGACCTCTGGAGGTCCTTCCCAACCAGCTCTTCTATGACCCCATCACCGCAGGGTGGGGACCAAGCCCTCACCACTTCCATGAAGAGCACGCAGACGTCAAAGTTGGGGTTCTTCTTGACGTTCTTGATGACGCAGGACTGCACGAGCTGGCCTCCACACTCCACCAGCAGGCTGGGCGAGGTGACGCTGGCCAGCTGGTAGCTCTTGAGGTTCCTCAGCCCCCAGGCCAGGATCTGAAGGGTGAGGGGAACAGACAGCAAAGACTGAGCCAAAGGTCTGCCTCCAGGTCTGTCACTGAGCTTCTCAGCAATGGAGGTAAACCTGAAGGTTGGCCCACCGTGAAGGAGAGCCGCATCAGCCATGTAGGACAGCTGGTGCTGGGAGAAGCCAGGTCTTACAGCAAGCATTTCTCCGTATGCACCAATACACCAGGTCCACAACTGCTTGCCTATTAATGGAGCATCTCTGTTTCGGGCAAGTATCCCAGTGTGAGGCAGACTGTCCTTCTAAAAACCACGTGTGGTCCAGGGCTGCGCTCTGCCCTAGGACTTGACTGCTTGGTGAGACTTGTTTTCCCAGCAAGACAACATTTTTTGACTAGTAACCCATGGGCAGAACCAGCTCCCAGCACTGGCGGGACTCTGTATCCACAGAGTCTGGCTTGGATCCCATTTCTGGGTCTCATCCCCTCTGTTAGGGGCACACATGAGGGGTGTTATTCTGTGAGGGGGTGAGCTGCCTCATGTGCTCCCCATCACTCACCTCGATGGCCGTGCGCTGCAGGACCGGTTTGATTCCTTGGGGGACCATGTAAATGTTGGGCTCCCGCTGGGGTGGGGGGTACGGCAGGTCAGAGTCCGCGGACTGCAGGGAGTAGAGATGCGAAGGGCACGTCAGGTCATGCCACGATGGCACACCAACCCCATCGCCTCCCCCTCCCCACGCTGTGCCTCCTCCCAGAGTCTCCTTCTCTCTGCAAAACTCATCTCCCCCCAGAAGCCCAGGACAGCTAGAGAGGGGGAGATGAGGGCTGGGGGGATGAATGTACTTGCAAACTGTTTCTCTCCCTTTAATCTGACCCTGGAAAAGATCAAACATCTACTGCTGAGAGCGATCCCTGAGCCTTTCCCAGGGAACTAAGAGGGATCTGCCCTCCATCAAGCTTCAGCCTCCTTTAAGGGAGGAAGGTTTGAAACCGCATCTATCCCACGCCGGGACCACGGTGAGACAGCTACGCAGAGGGATGAGGAGAGGGGACGAAGCAGCAGCAGAGGGTTAATTAGTGAAATACAGCTCCTTGAGCCGGACAGAGCTGTGACCAGCTCCTGAAGAGCAGCAGGCAGTTTAGTGGGGGCAGCGCCGCGGGAGGGACGGTCGACATCGCCTCCGGATGCAGGAAGGGGTCATTGTTCATTCGTGGCATACGTGCAAACCTTATCTGGCAGCTGCCAAGCTGCCGGCCACTGGACAGGGCTCAGGTAAAGCTGCCTATGCACCACGTGTACAGGAGATTTCCTTCAGGGTGAGACCAAATCTGGACAGCAGGTGAGGGATTCAAAATTTGCCTTCACAGAGGAGGAAAGCAGGGAGCCAGACTTCCCCGGCTGCTTGCAGAGGACGGGCTCTGAGCCCTCCCAGCGTTCGGGTTCTTTTTGACCTGCATCTTCGAGTTCAGAGTCACCAAAAAGGCAGGAATGAAAGCAAAACCTCTAAAAATGCAACCCTCAACCAAGGGCAGTTGGAACCAATTTAGGAGACTGGCATTCTTTTCAGGCTGGAGTATTATTGCATTAAATTAAGTGTGTATATGTATTTCAATTATAGGATTGGTTCAGGTTTATATATGCATGTATATAAATGCTGTACAAAGGGATTTTTCACGGTGGCATGTTAGATGTACTAGACCCTAAGCTTTAATTTTCTTTGGCAATTGCTGGTGGCTGCTGAATCAAGCTGCTTGTTAGCTGAAGACTTTTGGTAACTCCATTTCGGAACAGATGTCTGGGTTTCCACACAGGGCAGACAGTAAATCTGGGACAGGCAGTCCCACCTCCCATGGCCCACATGCTTGCAGAAATGGCTAGCGCTAGCAGGGAAAGGGAAGGTTATCTGGGAGGTGAGTGCCTAAGGAGAAGGGAGAGGTGCAGAACATCCCCAGCATCGCTCAGGAGCTCGGCACTTCTGCTAATCCACCTACTTACCCAGAGCCTTAATTTCAGACTCCTAAATGAGACGCTGCACCACCAACATGAGCTGATCCTGCCTTGGGGTAGAGGGATAGACCAAATGGCCCTCAAAGAGCTATCCTCAGCTTTTGTTTGTGATCCACAGCACTTAGAGCACATCAAGTTGCCTAAGCATGGACCGAACCAAGAAAAGCTTCAGTCTTCCCTTGTTTAGTGACATACGTTCATTTCTAGCTTTAAATGTGCTTAAGTTGCACTTAAGTTGCATAATAGAGATGCAGAGCTGGAGAAGCCACCTAGCCCATCTCCAAACCCCAAGGTAGGGCCAAACTCCACACAGCCCCCGTGAGGCGGCTGCACAACCTGTTCCCAAAAAGGGAGGTTTTTTCCCTAACAGAGCACCTAAATCTTCACTGATGCAAATACCATGCGTTACATTTCCATATCGTCATTGGACTCAGGACCATTTCTGGCAAATCTGTATGGGAAAAGGGGTAAGCCTTGGGGAAAGAGCTCCTGCCTGCCCCCCATCCTCCCCAGGTTCAACAGCAGCTTTGAAAGCCAACAGTGCACGCTTGGTTGCTAACACTGCGACGTCTTCAGCGAGCGCTAGCTGTTTCTAAGTCCTTCTCAACCCCTGCTGCTCTCCTGGTTGTTTTGCAGTGGTTCTCCTTGTTCTCAGCATTAAATATTTCACCAGATGGGACAGAAATGAGCAGTGAGTGGGGACCAGGCAGGCGCAGGGAGGGTTCAGGGTGGTAGTGGTTAACAAGCAATTCCCAGACACAGCTCTCAACCCAGACACAGCAGGCTGGATGGAGGAGACATCCATGAAAAGCCCTGTGGGGATCAGCTGGCAGCTGGGATGGTTTGAATGAGACAAGTCAGAGGGAATGAGGGTGGAAGAGAGCTCTGGAGATCATCTAGTCCAACCTTGACTTTGGTACAGGGTTGGAAGAGAGATGAGTGAAAGTCAACACAGATCAGACCAGTTAAAACAGTGGCTGGAAACATCTCCCAGTTTGAGCGCACAACTGGGCCACGTTGCTTCAAGAGGGGCTTAAATCCCAGTGCTTGGAGGGGACCTAGCCCCAAAAGGCTACTGTCATTTGCACCAAACAGGAATGCAGCAGAAGGAAGTCTGTGCCAGCCTGGTCGTTCGGATACATCGTGAGCCTGAACGATGCATGTATGAGCCTGATTCTCCACAAGGCTCGTTATATACTGCTAAGGGCACCAGAGGCCTCAGGCTGGCATCGCTCTTTTGGATGCCACCTCAGTGGGTTGGCCTGGATGGAGTTGCTGCGGGGCAGGTGGAGCAGGCCAGGCCATGTCTGAAGGAGCTGGTGTCTCTGAGAGTCTCTGTTGGGACTTTGCTTGGTTTCTGGGCAAAGGCAGAGGAACAGAGGAGAGTCAAGTGTCTGAGCATAAAAGGTACCCATTGGAGGAGCCCCTCGTAGAACAAGGCAGGGGTGCAGAGCTGCGGAGTGCCCCATCCAGAAATGGCAGTGGCAAGAAATGGAGGAGAAAGAGCAGAGAGATGGTTATGTTTACACGAGCTCATCCATCTCAGCCCACATGGAGCACAAAGATGAGCCCCGCACCATCAGGAAAGGCTGCTTGCGGGGAGGAAACCCATCTTGCAAAAATGTGTTTGTCCCATCCAACCTTCCATGGAAATGTGGCCAGGTCTTTGCATGCCCCAGGTCCCTCCTCGCTCACCTCCCAGACTTTGGGGTTAACTGGCTCCTAGGGCCACCACAGCACTCAAAGAGATGTGCCCCTTGTTCAGCTCCCTGCCTTGTGTTTTCCAAGAGACCAGCCTACCCTGACACCGCTTGGTGCAGCCTGTGATCTGCTCTGTAGGACGCACAAGGTCTGGGTAGCAACTTCGACAGGTTGCCCAAGCAGCAGCTTGGGATCCTGATGAGAGTATTTCCTTCAGAGCAACTGGAACAGTCCAGCACATGCCCCGATTCATGGTGAATTCCCCATGAAAAGCCGCAAACTTTTCAACCGGGATTTCAGCTGAGGTCCAGCCAAAGGTCAGTCCAGCATTTCAGCTTTTGCATGCTTTGTTTGGAAGGGTTGAACACCAGCAGACCTCATGCACGCACATCCCACAAAGGTTAAATATTGCCCGACATGCCCTGCCATCGGGAACGCTTCCTGGGCTAAGCACGGAGCCCATCTACCCTGTCCTGCTGGTGGTCACTCAGGCTACCAAAATCCTGATGCTATCGATTTGACTCATCTGAAAGGAAGTGGCTGCCCCGTGGAGGTACAATTTTAACAATCTCCAAGATGAAGAGACAACTAAGTCTTACAGACTCACCTCATCCAGACTGGAGGACAGCTCACTCTGGAGAAGAGAAGGAGAGTACAGAGTTAGAGCAATTCTCATCCGTAAGCCCGTCCTAGGGCTTATAATTGTAGCTGATAACTGAATAGAAAAATGATGCTTTCCAAGTTTCTGCACACCACCATCCCCAGGTTTGAGAAGAAATCAGTGCAGGTGACTTAAAACCATTTGAAATCCAGCATCAGTTAATGCCTTTGCTCAGTCAGGCTGCAGGGTAGGAACACGCTGGAGCAGTTGGAAAGCACAGCCCTTCATGATGGGAATGCTGAAATTATCCCAGGGCAGGAAGGTAATGGTGTGTTCGAGACCTGAGGAATTATATCAGGAATGGGGTACATTTGCCCTGTCAAAAGTGAGCTGCCCCACTCACTCCAGCTGTCTTTACCACCAGCTGAAGGAAATTGGCATCTCTACATGGGGATTCCTTCATCCTAAGATAGGATGGACAAATTGCCTGCAGAAGCAGGGTTGCAAACAGAGTGCACTGCAAACCTCTGCAGGAGCAGCTGATGGTGCTGGGACGCAGCAGCTCTGTAGGGGCAGGGGAGGGGATGGTTTGAGGGGCGTAGAGCCTAGGAGCTGCAAACAGGGTCATGGCATTACCTCGAAGCCAGGGACGTGATGGACAGCCGGCTGTGGAGAAAAAACACACACTTTCCATTTGCACTCCTGGTGCTAACTCAGCTTTATCTGGCAGAGAAACATCAGTCCTCCCATAGCCACACGCTGCCACCCTCCATGCCCAGTGCTGGGCTCCAAAAAGCCTGGGTACGAGGGCAGGGCTCTCCCTCCCACAAGGAGGCACGAGCAGAGTCTCAAATCCACCCGGCTGCTTTCTGCTAGGATCAAACAAGGTCCTTGGAGAGGGGACTCCTCTCCAAGGTCTTCCCCACCCAGTTCTGAGGGGGGTGAAGAGGAAGAAGAAGGTGCATGCAGATGATTCGGTGCCCCGTCCCGACAGCAGAGACATCCCCTGATCCCGACCCAGCAGCCCCTCACTGGTGCGGCAAGGCTTGTACCCAGCGCATCCAGCCCCGGCAGCTGCAGCCGCATCGTGCACAGAGTGCAGCAACCCTCCAGGAGCAGAGCTGGGACCTACATCGGAGGGAGGGAGGAGGTAGCTGCGGGACCCTCGCTCCCAATTAGCGCCTCGGGGCTGGGAGGGAGGAACGGGGCAGGGAGATTTAGCCTTCCAGTCCACCCAGTTTCCCTGGCATAGAGGCACATCTGGGCTGCAGCCAGGCGCCGCGGCCAGTGGAAAAGCCAGAGACGAGAGAGGCGAAGGGGTGGTGCGTGCAGGGGGACAGGGAGGGTGGGAAAGCGCACAAGAGCACACTGGGGAATGATGAGGAGTCTCTCCTGCCCGGGCTGGCTCCGAAGCACAGCCTCCTTCCCCCGGGGCTCGTTACATGAACAGCCAGCACTGAGCGCGGCAGCTTGCTGCAGGAGCAACCGCCCACTTCGGCTCTCATAAACCCCCTCCGGAAATTAACTCTGAGCAAAGGGTAGCTATCTGGGGCCAAATGCACCAGGCTCTTCCCGTGGTGCGAAAGTGCCGAGGCTCTGAGCTCAGCACCACAGCCAACAGGGCTGGCAGGGCGCGAGCGGTGCCTCCCGAACCGGTACCCAGCAGCCCAGGCTTTGGTCCGGCACCGCCCACTTCGGCTCTCATAAACCCCCTCCGGAAATTAACTCTGAGCAAAGGGTAGCTATCTGGGGCCAAATGCACCAGGCTCTTCCCGTGGTGCGAAAGTGCCGAGGCTCTGAGCTCAGCACCACAGCCAACAGGGCTGGCAGGGCGCGAGCGGTGCCTCCCGAACCGGTACCCAGCAGCCCAGGCTTTGGTCCGGCACCGAGCCTCTTCCCGTTGACTCTGCTAAACGCCTCCCACCACGCCACTGCGGTGCAGCCAGCGCTGAGCATCATGGCTGGGTCTGCGCGGAGCAGGGGTCCTGGTGAAACTGAGGACAGACAGCTGCAGAGCTGTTGAACCCAGGTGGACATAACCCAGCGCCGAGCAAAGGTTGGATCCTGCCGGGTGCTGAGACACCTCAAGGGAAGAAGCCAGCATTGCAATTAGAGACAGGATCAGGTCCAGATGGGGAGCTCACCTTCTCCCTCTGAATCAGCTCGAAGGCAGCCAGCAGCTCCCCGACATTTCTGTTCGCCTTGATGACCGGGTGCCAGGAGAGCCGTGGCGAGTGCGCCAGGCTGGGCTTGCAAATGCAGCGCCCCATGAACTCATCCGCACCCTGAAAGGCAATCACAGGCACAGGGAGCTTTCTTCCCACCCCGCTTCCCGGTGGAGTCCGTCACCACGCACCCACATCTCAGCCAAGACCCTATTACTAACAAATCAGGCTCAATGTCTGAACCATTGTGGGACCAGTTCAGAAAAAAAAGATGGTTTTGATGCCCATATAGACTCAAGTTTTCAAACTCCTCCCTTTAATTACTAGGGCTAGAAATGCACTCTTTCTTATGCATTTTGGCTTAAACAGGAGGTGAAATTCCTATAGTATCACACGATTTCCAGAGCAGGAGCTCTGAGTGTATCATTAAGTATCGGCAGCTCTTTAAAAGCCCATTCACTGGTCCGCAACGGGATCTTCAGTTGCCTTTGCTGCTTCCTGCTGGTGTCTTTTGGAGGAGGGAGGGCAGAAGGGTTCCTGAGACATTCCTGAGATGTATTCTAAGTGCTTTTCACTCATGCACTGCTCTTACACGCAGTCTGAAATCCCTTCTGCTCTTGTGACAGGCTACAGCCCAGTTTTTCTAGGAAGGACTCAAGGTTATCTCACCAGCCCCCCAAATGCCATCACTGCAAGGCACTTTGGATACCTTTGGGCAGCTGAGCAAACGACAGTGTATCATCCCCTACTTGCACGACTGCTTTAAAGCTTTTTTTTTAGCCCCAAGTCCCAAGCTTTTTCCACAAGGAAATACGATTAATTTGGCCACTCTGCAAAACACGATGTAGATGCAGCTTTGGTGACTAGACCAGGGCCACCAAGGACATCACTAGCAGAGCTGTCTGCTGAATTTTTGTCTTCTGAGTGTCCAGCTCAATGTCTGAGCCACCCAGAGACGTTACAGCATTGCGCTCCAGAGGGCAGGAGCAATGCCACGCGTTTATCCCATCTACCCCAGCACACTCACACCATGAAGGTCCAGCTCATGCCGACACACTTACATAGGTGTCATGGTCATATATTTCCACCACGATGTTGGGAGGGGAGTCAGATACGTTCTGGGGGTCCCCAAAGATCTCTATCTCATAGAAGATGAGTGTCTGGTCCCAGGTGGGGTTCAAGGTGTTCTTGATCACCACCGTCTTCTGGCTTTGGTGGAGGAAGGAGACAATGGCATAAGGATCTGCAAGGGACGTTAGACAAGAGGCAAAGGATGAATTAGAACTACCTGTCTAGGAAGGAGAAAGCAACTCATAGTCATTCAAGGGCCAACGGGCTCTGCAGGGAAGACTGCGAACAGGCTGGAGCTGCGGGTCTTTCAGAAACAGCAATGACATTCCCATCATGTCCCAGGCAACTCCAACTGAGAAGAGAACGAGGCCAAGTTCTCCGACACTCATCCCTATACACCAGTTATTCGCAGCTCAGGTACTTCCCAAGCTAGATGTGATGTCTGTATGTTTAGCGACCCTGCAAAGGGGTTGTCTTCCGCAGACTTGCCCTGTCTCTCTTGAACCCACCATATCCTCCAGTGAGGACTCAAAACTGCATGAAGAACCATCTTCTCATGGTTTTTTGCAGTACCCAGCTCCCTCTATCTCTGTCTGAGACTCCCCATTTCTTGCATTAGGAGAAAAGGAGCAGTTCACCCCTGCCCACCTGCACTGACACTTAGGGTTCTGTGGGTTTCTATCATGCCAACCCTAAAACATCTCTTTTTCAAGCTGAAGAGTCTCAGCCTATGGAGTTATTCCTCATAAAGGGCCAATCCAGATCCCTGCTCATTCCAGCTCTTTTTGGGACAAGACAACCACAACGGTCCACACAACTTAGCCGTCTATCTATGCAAAGACCTTCCTTCTTATCCCACAGCAGCCTCCTTTCCTTAAAAACCTTTGATGAAGGATTTTTTTGCCAAAAACCTTGTGGATGTCCAATGAGACCATGTTAACCGGAGCAACCTTATCCTCTGGCTTGTGATAGCTCCAGCTAGTGGAGACACCATGACCTTCCCTGGCCACATCTCCCAGAACTCCACTGCTGTAGCATTTAAAATTTCCTCGCTGTCTGACTTGATCTGTCCTGGTCCAGGTTATCCTCATGACTCCTCACCCTGTCCACCAGCAGTGAGGTGGCACAAATCGTTCACCTATTGCCCTAAGGTGTGGGGTTTTCTCCCAAAAGATGACTTTACAAGGAGGAGCGTTTCAACGGTGGTAACACGGCCGTCTTCCAGCACAGCAGAGAGCACAAACTGTTTCCACGATGCAGTCTTTCCCAGGGAGATGCAGGAGGTACCAGCACTGCACATGTGGGTGAGCAGTGACTTCAGGTCACCCCCTGCTGTGAAGACCAGACCATGAAGAAGGTGGCTGGGACGTTACTGCCTCCTTCCTGGGGTCTTTTAACACCTCCAGAAGGGACAGGAGCTGAGGCTGCAGCCAGCAACTGGCCAGAGTCATCTTCTCGGCCCCTTTGCACGAGCTTTGGTAACCTCCATGTCTCAGGGAGGGATTTGGGTTCCCAGCACGCCCGGTTATCCCACCTGGCCTCCAGCTGGCACACCAGCCGGCTCCGGGTTTCCCTTAGGGCTGCTGCATCACATCTGCCAGCCCCATGCAGACATCTCAGGTACTCCAGGGTCTCATCAGCCCCCTGTACTTAGGCACTGAGCTGGGACCAAGGTGTCTTACCCCTAACTTGGGACAAAGCCAGAGGTTTCTCACTGCAAGGCAGCAGCAAATAGCGAGGAGTAGCCTCCCTTAACAACCAAAGCAATTAACGCAGGAAGCCTGAGATCAATTAACAACAGAACCATGAAACCTGAGCCCTCTCTAACACCTTCCCTTCCAGACAGCTTCAAAGAGCATGCGGCCCAAACCTGCTGTGGACATCCAGCCTGTGCCCACGGTGGCACTGGGCACGGGGACAGGACGGGCGGTGGCAGAACCAGGATCAAGGGCTGGGTGAGACACTCGAAACGTGCCATGGGATCACATTATAAGACCTCATGGAGACTGAACACCTTTCATACCCTGACAGCACCTACTGGTCCTTGTCAGGGCTGAGACCTACATGATTGCTGCATCCCACCTGACCGGTCCCAGGTGGACTCCTGAGCTCTGGTTGCCTGCAGCCCAACCTCCACGGTGGCAGGAGGCATCACGGGCCTTTTTGGAAGGACACAGGCTACCTCCTCTGCCTGGCACCCAGCACGACGTGCCACCACAAGACACAGATACACCGGACAGTCTATGGGGGTCCACCAGCATGCAGCGGGGTACCACCCAGGTCACCCCAAAGCCAGTCCCAAGAGACCTGCCGGCAGCCAGGAGCATGGCAGACCCTACAAACCCCCGCAGTCCCAGGGCGGGTCCCCCCACCCTGCAAAACAGCGTGCACACCCCAACACCAGCGCTATCAGGAGACTTTGAGCTTACGCTGGGAGCAAAATGTGTCCTGCCTACCCTGGAAGTGGAGGAGCATCCCCCAGACACCTGAACGCGGGGCTGGCTGAGCAGACCGGCGTCCCCCACCCTCCGTCCCCTCTTCCAGGGATGGGGGGGGCGGGTCAAGGGGGGTGTATTTTCTTTCTTGGCGTCCGGACCGCAGCAGACGTGTTTAATGAGCCGGGGCTGTTTGCGAGGTGGCCGGCTGGAGAGAGCACTATTCACACTGAGAAGAACCTTTTCCACTTACGCGCTTTTTTCCAGTAAGAGGAAAGCAGAATGCGTTACAATAAACAAAAAAACCATGGATTTGGATTTGATTTTTTGCTCTTTTTTTTTCCCCCCTCTTCTTCTTTTTAAAGGAGGCCTCCATAAAGCCCCTTTGTTTAGACCCTCGTGTGCACAGAAGGTTTATTTTTATAACTGCGTAAAGCCCCCTTAATGAACTCCTTTATGCTTTGTTAAGGCAGCGGAGATCACAATTCCACATTGTGGCATGTTGTTACTCATGTTGTCCTTGGCCGGGTTTTTCCGAAGGAAGGGACTCCCCTCCCCGCTCCGCCGATCGGGGCCATGAGGTCACCTCGGTCCCCACCACTTCGAACAACAAACCCTTTGTGGAGGCAGAGGGGAGACGGGACCTCGGTGGGCACAGACACTGGGTGATTGTTTGGGTGCTCTGCACCTCTCCAGGGCATTTCTGCCCACCCCACCCCCTAAGCCCCCCTGCTTCAAAATACCAGGGGGAGCAGGAGCCCCCCAGGAGTGTGGTCCTGCTGCCCAGCATGGTCACGCCCGGCTGTCCCCGCTCGCTGCTCCCCGCTGCGGGTCCCCGCGCTGCACTGTTTTTGGGGTCTGTCCCTGTATCCCATCCAAGATCCATCACCCCCACGCCAACACTGGTGGGCGAAATCCCACGCCCAGCCCCTCTGCAAATCCCTGTGGCAGACGGTCAGTGACAGCCTTGGAGGGATGCTGGTTGCGTCCTGCCTGCGGGGACCGCTGTGGAGGGGTGTGGGTGCTCCGGGGATGCCTGCCCCGGGACCTGCTTACATCTCAGGTGTGGCCCCTGCCTCAGGGCACTGAACTGATGGGAGACTTTTTGCATTGCCCCAGCTCCAGCTCTGAGTCAGAGGTAAACAGCGACGTCCCCACTGTCCTGCTCTCCCACCTCAGAATGACACTCCAAAGCATTAACGGCCGTGGGCAAAGGCAGCTTTGCTCACAAGCACCAAAAAGCCACGGGGAAGCCTGGCTGGGATGGCCCAGCCCCTGGGGAAGAGGATGTGGGACCCTCCGGCTGCTTGGGGGCTGGTCCCTGCTCAGGTCAAACGCGAGGGACTATTCCTGGCATGTCCTCCCGCCTCCACAGCCACACTTCAGCCTCTGCTGCAAACAAAACGTTCCTGAAACCAAACCACCTACACCCAAGCACCCTTCAGCACCGAACGGTAACAGAGCTGCCCAACGGATAAAGTGACATGTCTTATTCTGGCTTGATTTCCTAACCCAGAAAACATGAGCTCAGCACGGGACATCCCGACCACATCGGCTCAAGTCTGGCACTTTCAGCCTGAAGCTGTGCTGGGGACGTGTTGAGCAGCAGGACATGGAAAGCTCCTTGCTCAAAGCCCAGGATGCCCTTTTCTCCTCCTGGGACCACACTTTTTTCCATGAAGGGGCATTTTTTACAGTCCGGTCTGAAGGACGCCTGGTTCAGGCATTGGCTCCATCAAGGAAATCCCCCAGCCGTTGCCTCCCATCCCCCTTGCAAAGTTTCCAGGATGGAGAGCAGAGGAGCAGCAGCTCAATTTAATGTTCGGTCGTGAAAACAAATACGAACCGTTTTACAGATTTGCCACTGTTAGGTATTTTCCTTTCCAACCGTATTTTCAATCAATTCTTTCATTCTTAATAAACGGGGTCTCCCTTCTTCAGCCTTGATCCCTTCCCCAAACCATAGGACAAATCCCCTCCACAAACCCCAAACCCAGGAGACTGCTGGCCCCCTGCCCTGCAAGGGTGGGCAAGAGGCTGGACAGGATTCAACCATCTGGGAGCAAGCTGGATGCTGAGGGCACGTAAATCCGACCAGAAACTTCATGAGGATGCCAGAGAAGAAGGTGCCTGTCTGCTCCGAGGTCCTGATAACACCCTTGCACCCTCTTTAATTTTTCTGAGCACATCTCATGGAGGTTTCTGCCCCGTGCTCCATCATCTCGACACCAGCCCAGAGCCCTCCACCCTCCCTGCAATCCCCCAGCTTGCACGCTGTGCTGGGGAGGGCAGCTCGAGGCGATGTGCCATGGTAAACATCCCTGCCCTCCGCTCTGTTTTTATTTGTCATGCCCCTGAGCCGTCTGCTACCCAGCCTTGCCACTGGCTTTCAGCATCACCTCGGGTCGGGGAGAAGGAGCTATTAGCAAAGCAAACAGCTCTGACTCACGGCTGACCTGGGTAACTTGTGGTTTCTTGTTGGTTTCTCACACAAGAGTTCTTGAAACTCTGATTTTTTTGCTGATGGGAAATCAAGCTACCAGGCTGGTTGCCTTGGGAAAGCCTTGTGCCGCTGCCTTTTGTTGTTTGGCTGCCGAACACCCCTCATTTCACATCAATAAATACCCCAAAATTTGCTTTACAGACCCCACTACTCCCCAGCATTCGTTACAGCACTAATTACGAGCACAAACAAGTGGACGAGAGCATTTGGGCTCACCTGAAAAGCTGTCCTTATCCATGGCGATCAGATCCCGCGCTTGGTACATGTAGCAGCGGAGGTGGTATCTGTTCCCGCCTGTATAAATGAGAAACAGTTGAGAGATGAGTCCAGGGATGAGTGCAGGGCACCAGGGGAATAGCTGGGTTTTTAAGCAGCCCCAGGCTCGTCTCTGAGGGCAGCTCGGCTTGATCCTTCCCGCAGCTTCCCAAGAGAGCACCAAGCCCTGAGGGTGTCGGCGTTCCCAGGGGGACAAGCCCTGCCCCATCCTTGCCCACCCCGCTCTTTCCATCCGCCTGCACTCGAGGCGGGTGAGAGGAAGAGGATGGGAGATGCTCGGCTATGGGGTCCCCGCAGCAGAGACCCCGTGCCAGGACTCGCTGCAGGGGAACTGCACCCTCGCCTCCAACCCTTGGGGCCTTACAGTCAAATATGCACGAAATGGTGGGTCTGTTGACACCGAAACTGAGGGTGGAGATGGATTTGCCATCGTCACTCCTGTCGTCTGTCACTCCTCCCTGCAAGAGAAAGCAAGGCAAGGTCGGTCATGCCGGGACCCCCTCTGCGGCCGGAGCTCCCCGTGGGATGGGGTCATCCAGGGTATTATCCACGTGGGTGTCCAAGAGGACTTTCGGCTTCCCCATGGAGGGACCCTCAGGCTCTTTTGCCCCAGGAGGGCAGAGAGGATCCAGCTCCCGATCCATGCCGAGCTGGGAGGGAACAGGACACAACAACAAAAGCAGCCCAAGGGTCACCAATTCACATCCCACCTCCCAGCATCTCACCAGCACGGAAAAGCCTCTCCATAAAGTTCATCATACTTGGAGCAGTAGTTAGTAGTTAAAGCACTTTCACTAAGTTCCCTTGTGAGCAGAATTAATGGAGTATAAACTTCATGAACGGTGATACAGACGGTGTCAGATGCAGCCAAATGCCCCACTCACTGCCCGGGGGGAGCCTCAGCCGAGCTTGGCCATCGCTCTTCCCTCTTCTCGTGTTCGCCTACGAGAGCTGGCCTTTTATCACCTCCTAATTGCCACATTCGGCTTGAAATATTTAGTTGCAGGAAAAGGAGCATAAAGGTAACTTCCTGGCGAGTTTAGATCTGATCTTTAAATATTTTTCAGTTATCGAATGCTAGGGAGAGACAGGAGGGGTGTTTAAAGAAAAAAGGAAAAGAAAGAAGGAAAAAAGAAAAAAAAGCGGGTCCGGGATGGAGATTCCAGAGCCCGGAGCTGCCTGGTCCCAAAAACGCGTCAGGAGCTTAGGTGGTCTGCAGAGCCCTCCTTGCCTTTCCGGGCAGGAATGGCAATTACCGTGACATTGTCTGCAGAGGAAGCCCAGGGCTTTGCGCTGTATTTACGGCGGTGAGGTCACGCCGAGGGTTTGCAAGGCAACCTCCAGCGCTGCCTTCCCTTCCTCGCCCCCCTCCCCGCGGG